CATTTCTAACTCAATCATCTCTAGTTACTCATGTGAGGACCACTGAAAGGCATAACAGGGTATTACTATTGAGAACATCGCTCTTAAAGAAAGGAGGATGCTTTCTTTTATATAACACAGGTTGACATGGGGCTGCTGAATCTCAGACTAAGGTTATAGCCCAGCATCCAAGTAACACTAAAGGATCTCTTAGACATATTTCTTTCTTGTGACTTCCTCTGCAGAATGGGATATGTCTGAGTGGGGCTGAACACTGGTTTCAGGTTCTCTGCCCTTGTTCCCTGTAGAAGAAATGGAATTTCCCAGTTACCACTCATGACATGCAGCTACTTATGCTGCTTGTGTGAGACCTTTAAGTCCGTGCTGATTTAGGCATGGCAAAATGCTGGCGTGCCATTGCTTGCGCAGCAGCCGGAAATGCCATCAAGATGATCTTTCTTCTGGTGATGAGGGTGAAAAATCAGGACAGGAAGGTGTTGGGGCTGCTTCTCATTCCTGTTTTTGACTAGCAGGGGGGGCCTGGAGCAAACAGAAAGGTTCAGCTTTCCCAGTCCTCCTTGGAAACTTGCCTGATCTGCTAAGACACAGCTCATGAGAAAAATACAATCCTGAAAGACAAGTCCTTTTAAGATTTTTAAATTATGATCACCTGATGATTATCAGGAGCTCTGTGCCGATGCTGAGGAGCAGTTGGAGTTTATCGAAGGTAGAGTTGTAGCCAGTCTTTGTTTGGCAAGTTAATAAGATGGCAAAAGTCCTTTGAATGCCACTGGAAGTCTTTGAAATTGTGCAAAAGTCCTTTGGATTTATCGAAAGCTAATCAGTATGACATTAACGAAGAACAAAGCAAGCCTAATGAAGATGAAAGATTTGAAAAGTGGATTATTTTTCTGTTGTCCTGGCTTTTCTTCCTCGAAAGACTTGCCCTTGTTGGCTGGGTAACAGGCTGTGTTAACAGGCTGGTTATCAAATTGAAATGGGGACTGTTTGAGTGTGTTGAATTACAGCCTTTTATTCTTTATCTGTCAGGGTTTCCTTCATAAATGCAAGTTTTAATCAAGTCTTTAAAATGCTCATTTAGCTGAGATTTGGCAATCTAATTCTTCCTCTGGCAAGATGCTTTAAATATCCTTTACCTAGTCAACAAAATTTGATTAAAATCAGCATGGATGTTTCTTTCCCCAAACTCCTCTCCTTCTTAATTGAGTGTCCAAAAATAGCCTGTTTGGTACTTTCCATGCATTCCTCCAAGAAAACAACATTCAGTAAAAATGTGGAGTTTCCAACTTCTTGGTTTGTAAAGGATATCTGACTATGTGAAGATGCAAAAGTAAAATTAAAGCCAGAAATAACCTATGAGACGATCTGGATAATAGTAGAACCCCAGTAAATTATGCGCTGTAGACTTGAGGTTTGAAAACTTGAAGGTACAACTTTGAGGAGCTTATCAGTAAAGGTGACAGAACCTGGAACTTGCGGTGCTCAATCTAGTGGAATCCCTCTCAGGATTAGCAGGTTACTGGCATTCTCTGGGCACCAAATACCAGAAGTAGCACACAGAGATGAAAGTTGCCTTCCTGCTATGCAGACTTTATAGATTTTGTAAAGACGCTAGGCGAAAATTCAGGAATGAGATTTCTTGCCTATCCACGTGGTTTTAACCAGAAATAAAGATTTTGTCTATACCTCAGTTCTCCATGTGTAAAAGCTGACTTCTGAGTTTGTCATACATACTTTTTCCTGGGGGCCTTCTGCTGCTCCCACTGGATGAGGATGTTGATGTATGTGTGCATTCAGACATCTAATCTTTACACATACCACTATGTACTAAGGCTGAGCCTGAAATCTGTCCAAGAGACACCAATTTTTGTACTCAGGAGGAATATACACCAATTTTTACACTCAGGAGGACTACCTGCAGCACTGACCCTGACCTTCAGGCTCTCTCAGCTGCCCTGTGTGGATCACAATTTGGGAATTTGACTTCTTGCAGAGGAGTGCATGTAAATGGTATTTAAATGTAGCTTTAAAAGAAGGTATTGCCTTCTCTGTAGTTGCAAATCTGTCTCTAAACTCCAGAACTGTCAATGAAAAACTTTTTGTGGTACCTTTTTCTTTCCTGTTCTTGGTAAGGTATAAAATGACTTTACCTGAGTTTGTTGAAAAACGAGCAGCAGAGGATTAGAATTTCTGGATTATTCTTTACTGGAAAATAAGCTGATGGAGATATACTCTAAATATATATATATATAAATAAAGCTATTACAATAATTTATACAAATACACTTGCTTAAGCTTTGCAGTTTGCAGTTCTTCTTGTTCTTGGTGCGTATTGGCTTCCAGTGGCATTTTGCAGGAATATTTACTGCTGTGTTTTAGGTACAATTTAGTAAGCTGAAATTTCAAGACATCCAATGACACAAAAAAGCTTAAAAACGTGTTGAGTTTTATTGAAGCCTGTTTTGGCATAGCATTCTTACTTTCTAAATACCTGCAGAAAATTTTACTTGATTTTATTTGTAGCGAGATAAAAATATGAATGTTGTTCTTTGCGAGGCTTCTTTTGTTTTGGCAATTTGTTGAAGAATGTGGAAGTGATCTTGCATCAATCAGAAAAAGCAATAGGTTTTGGAATGCTGAGACTCTCATTGTGTCCTTAGGTCATTCTGGGCTGGGATATTGAAAGGGACTCAGAACAGGTCTGATATGACACACAACACTAGATGATTTATGCCCCTTCTACCTGGAGAATGGAGCATGTGATAATAGCTACTGGTCTGTTTTTCAGAAACCCTCAGCACCAACAATCTCAGTTGAAATGAAAATGAAAGTGGCAGCTGCTGACCAGAGCTGAAAATGGGGCCATGGATGTCAGCCTGAAAACTGAGTTCCATCATGTTTACGGTTTAATGTCAGCATCTCAAGACTTTCTCTAAACAACATATTTTTGGTTTTATTATTTCTGTAACAGCAGGGCAAGAAAAGGCATCATTAAGGATGTACTTGATTTCTGACCTGAGCCTTCTCTCTCCATCACTTTAAGTCCACAAGTGGCCTGTTTTAGAAATTTGAGGATAGTATATTCAGTCAATTTTCAAGAAGGCAGGAAGTGTCAAGGGAGGGAGATTCTCCTAATTTGTCCTGTTATTGTAATAAATATCTATATATATATATTTTAAGCACCCTTATGTTGAAAGTAAACAGCTGAATGATACAAGAATTCAGTTCATACTGGGTAGACAACTCTATTCAACTCGAATCCTTCAATGAAAACCTGTAGGATCAAGTCCTCAGTGCCAAGGTCTCTGTGCTGGCTCTAGTGACAAACCCAAGATGATCAGGACTTTTTCTTGCTTGCTTGCTACCAGCAATATCTGAGGGTAGCATAGAAATTCGGCCTTCCTGTACCTCCTCTGCACCTTTGCTGGAAGGCCACGGTGCATGGCTGCGACTGAGGGCACTGCCTGCTAATTTTGTCTCTTCTTGATGGGGGACCAAAGGCAGAGAGCTCAGCTTGGCTGCTAAAATTGGGACACCAGGATTATTTTAAGGTGTCAGGTGGACAAATGTCATGCTGAAAGAACTGTGGATGCTTAAGAAGGAAGCAAAGCTATGAGAAGACAGTTACATATGTTTCGTGCTCATCTCTCATTTTTGTTGCTGTATAGCAGTAGCAAGAGGGACTTGGAGTTGGGAGACTGTGACAGTGTCAGGGAGGAGCAAAATGCAAGATTTGAGACAGGTGTCAGCACAGGGAGGAGAGCAAGGTCTCTAAATTAGGCTTGTAATGGTAACATAGTGGCTAATGCAAAAAATGAAATGGAGACAGAATAAACCCTTGGTTATTTCTGTGTTAGCACATCAAGTTGTGACACACAGGAAAGGTATTTTCAGCTATTTGACAAAGATTTGAAAGTTTTCCTCCTTTCTTCAGGCTCATATTGTGGAGAGGAGCAGGCATTTTGAGGGGTTGAAGAGATAGAAATTACTATTTTTTAATAAAGGGTTATCAAGGTAACAAAATCTCTTCACAACAGTTGTCTGTGTAATGTTAGATGTATGATAATGTAATATTGAAAAGTTCCACTGGGACTTGTGCATCTTGCCCTGTGCAATTCTCTTTACAACCTGCAATTACCTAAGAGCAAAATTGTCTTATATAGCTTATAATCTTACTTCAGCATTTGCAGCATATCCTGTGTCAGGGAATATTGGTAAATATTGACACAAAATTGTTTCTTCGTGTAAATCAAATCTTGAAAGGTTTCATGTGCAGCCAGTGAGTGGGTGTGTGTGTTTTTGTTTATTTGTGAATATGTCTGCCTACATAATCCCTCATTTTATAGGCTGCACATTTTCCTTGTCAAAAGTATGATATTAAACAGCTTTTAAATAGTAATACTTTAAATTTATTATTGTTTAGCATCTTTCATCCAAGCTTCTCATAGTACCTTTAGTATTAATTAATGCCTGATGTGACATAGAAAATATTATCCCTGTTAATAATGGTTAAACAGAACTAGAGTGTAATGAAATAATTTTCTCTAGTGGCATTGTCACTCCTGTTTCAAAGATGTGTTAATTCTGAGTTCACAGTCTTCTCCTGTAAAATATCAGTAGACATAGCAAATGTTATTTTTTAAAATCTCAATCCAGGGTCAATCCTACAAGTGATAGTGTGTGCATGCGTGTGGGTCACTGTAACTGGCTGCATTTAAAATAGTAACTGTGCTTTCTTCATCTTTTTTGGGTTTGGTTATTTGAGATTCCTCTTGAGTTAACAAGCTTGATTGCAAGATGCTCTTTCTAGAGGTGAGGGCATAGCCAGCTAAGTCAGCCAGAAATTGAAGCAGTAAGTCTTTTACTTTCACACTGCTTCTAAAACTCCACTCTCCTTTTGCAGGGTGGAAACATAACAGAGAACTGAACCAAACCCTCTCCCCCATTTATGAAATATCTGAAAGCTATTGAGATAGTATTTGACTTCTTTTCTTTTCCAGCTTAACCCACACTACCCAGAAGGTAATAATGAAGGAAAAGCTTTGGTAAGTGGAATTTATATGTTGCATATAATCTGGGGAATGCTGTATCCTTAACCCAGCACATCCTGACATATGGAAGCTCTTTAGAGCTTTCCTTTTCCTTATTATTTCAGCTGCTGGGGTTGTTTTCTATATTCTGTGCAAGGTAGGACGCATCTCAGAACTGGCAATTCAGAAAGTTTTCCCCCCGTGCTGAGGCAAATGATAAGAAACTTATTCAAATTCTGCATCAGTGGCATTAGCTGAAGCTGTTGTGCTTGTTATCTGACTGCAGGTATGAAATGTATTTATTCTTCTCAGCTGTGATGTGTTACTTCATGGCAACAGCCTTTGCCAGGTACAGCATCAACAGCATTTTAGCTAATTTTGACTAATGAGGCAAGGCCAACATGGAGATTATAGTGTGTGAAGGAAATGGAGTTAAAACCTTCCTTGGGGGAATCTTCCTGTTACTAAGTCAACAAATATTCCCAAAACCACTAATTCCTCCATCAAATTCATGAGATTGCCTTGGAAAGGCTGAGATCTTCAAAAAATTCAATTTAATTCCTTTCTGCTTGCCTTACGGGCTTTTGTTCTTTAAGAGGATACATTTTCAAGTTTTTCTCTGCACAGGGAAGAAATTTTTGGTTTTTCATTACATGAAACCCAAGAATCTTACAAAATCACATGCCTTGAGGACTGTAATTTTAATAAAGATGGAGACTTTCATAGGTGTTGGCAACATTGGTTTTCCATCTTCACTGATATTTCACATTAGTGCTGATACTGCAATAACAGCTAAGCTGTCCAGAAAAATGAGAATTCTCTCCTATGAAAATAGAGAAGTTCCACCAGCTGTTTCTCTTTTGTATTGGAGTGAAACTTGAGGCCTTTGGAGCTTTGGAATGGAAATCAAGATCAGTTCTAGTATTCCTCAGTGAGTAGGTGTTAGGCCCTTGTCACTGAGGAACCAATCCTATTGTACCACACCATCCTTATTTATGGTGTATGTTTTCCCTCTGTAGTCATTTCAGTTCCTCTAAATAGTTAAATATTCTCTGGACTGGATAATGACAAAGGCAGAAGTGTAACCTAAGCACAAATGTTAAAGGTGGCTTCACTATCAGTTTTGCTTATTCCTCCTGGGTATTGGTTTCAGCTAAAACCCCAGATCAGATAAATCATATTAGAGAAATACTTCCAATAAAAAAGTAATCAAAGCTGATTGATGATCAAAACTGATATCTCTGTGAAAATTTTAATTTGTGCAGTCAGTACTTTCCTATGAAAGATGTTTTGTGGAAGAACTTCTAGCAATTTTTGGTGACACCTCCATGTAAATCAAAGCCTACAGGCTCTATATGTGTGATAAAAATCCTTTTGGATCCTTCACCCCTTTATAATCTTGTTGGAAATGCCATGATTCAGCAATGGCTATTTAAGCCTTCATTCTGCCCTGGAGCAACCCAATATAGAAACTTCACATCCCTGTGCAGGAATTACAATGATGCAGTGTATTGAATTGTCCCTCAAAAGTAAAAGAATCTTGTAATATTTGGAGTTCTTTGAGGGTCAGGTATGTCAGTCTTGTATCCAATAGCACATAACACACAGCTTTCCTTGCTCTGTGATTATCATTTAGGGTTTCCCTGCCTGGTCACAGCCTAACAGACTCACAACAAAGGCATCTTCTTTTCCATCCTTTGAAAAAATTAATCTTGGAATACTGCCCATGAAGTAAATCTGGAGGGAGGAGTTTGAAGTGGACCTACCCCAGCAAAAACCGAAGAATGAGTAGCAGGGAAATGGGAGAAGAATAAATGAATCCTTGTGGCTGAAGGGCTGAACCTGTAGCCTTTGCCCTTGAGGCCAGGAAGGCCAATGGAATCCTGGGGTGCACTGGGAAGAGCAGTGCCAGCATGTCAGGGGTGATCCTGCCCCTGTGCCCAGCCTGTGTGGCACATCTGCAGGGCTGTGTCCAGCTCTGGGCCCCTCAGCACAGCAGGGCCATGGAGCTCCTGCAGCGGGGCCGGCGGAGGCTGCAGAGATGATTCAGGGCCTGGAGCATCCCTGGCAGGGAAAGGCTGAGGGAGCTGGGGCTGTGCAGCTGGAGAGGAGCCCCAGCTGAGAGGGGCCCTCAGCCCTGGGTGTCCCTGGCTGCAGGGAGGGCTCCGAGCAGGGCCCAGGCTCTGCTCTGGGGGCCCAGCAATGGCACCAGAGCCACGGGCAGGGACTGAGCCCAGGAGGTTCCACCTGGGCAGGAGGCACAACTTCTGTCCTGGGCAGTGACCCAGCACTGAGCAGATTGTTCAGTTCAGTGGGGGTGTGGAGTCTCCTCACTGGGGATATTCCAGACCCAGTGGGTACACAAGAAAGTGGCAAATCCAATATTTTCACCATAAAAGAGCAAAAGAGGGACCTCTAGAATGGCATAACATACATCTAGATGCTAAACCATTTTTTTTTTAAAGTTGGAAATTCATTTCTTACCTCAACAATTTATGCTAAGAAGTGCAATAAGATTGGAAGTTACCAATCTGGGAGATTAAATCTAAGTGTGAAACCCTCAGCTTGTCACTCACAACCAGCGGTCTGCACACTCCTGTGACTAGATTAATATTCTTAAAATTTTGTAGTTCTTATAGTTAATTTCTTATAAATTTCTTATAATTTCTTAAAAAGGGCCTTGATCAGGCCCTTTGTTATTTTTAAAATTCCAAACAGTATTTTTTAAAAAAATACAGTGGTTAACAAATACTATTACTGAGTTTGCTTGTAATTTGGAGAGCTGTCTCAGGTAAACTACACCTGCAAAATCATAAAAAGTAGAAACAGTTGGATTCTTGGAACTGTTAGTGAAAATCACATTTCTGTTTAAAGAATGCACAGTATTTCTAAGAATTAGAGTCCCCAGCTGGGGATAGCCTTACCTTGGAACTGAGCACTTCCATCCCATACTGGCTGCGTGGTTTGGCGGGCTGGTCCTCGGTTTTGGGCAGGGAACTGAAGCAGAATTTGTGGGTTTGTGCAGCCCCTCGAGCCCCTTTGGCCACCGAGGTGAGGCCTCAGCCTCTCTGGCAGCCGTGCCCCTTCCAGCCGGGCATGGGGGGAGCCCTGGCAGCTCTGCCTGGGATAGCTGCAATGGCCTGGGAACAGAGGGCTTCCACATGCTGTCTACATCAAGAGTGGGGTTTTTTTATTGTTAAATTTGGTGGTAATTTTCTTATGGAAATGTATGCTTTTGTGGTGAGAGGGGCCCTCAGCCCTGGGTGTCCCTGGCTGCAGGGAGGGCTCCGAGCAGGGCCCAGGCTCTGCTCTGGGGGCCCAGCAATGGCACCAGAGCCACGGGCAGGGACCGAGCCCAGGAGGTTCCACCTGGGCAGGAGGCACAACTTCTTCCACAGGTTGCCCAGAGAGGGTGTGGAGTCTCCCTCAGTGAGGGGATTCCAGAGCTGTCTGGACGCAATCCTGTTCCCTGTGCTCCTGAATGGCTGTGTGGAGCAGGGACGTGGCGCTAGCTGACCCACTGCGGTCCCTTCAGCCTCACCCATCCTGGGACTCCTTCTTTTCTCTGCTCGGGCTGTTGGATGAAAAAGTAGCAGTTCCTTCTCTGTTGGTTTTAAATCAGCACTGCCATCTGTGCTTTCTGTGCCGTGCTGGACTGCCCAGCCTGTGCTGGGGCTGCTTGTGCGTGTTCACGGCCTGGTTTACAAGGCCCGATCCACTTGCTCAGGCAACTGAATTTTGGGAAGCAGCAATGGAAAAGGGCTTTCCATGATGCAGCAGTGGGCACAGACACCAAGATTCTGCCTAAGCACATCTTTTCTGCCTTGCCTTAAGTGACTCCAGAGTCTGAAAGGGTTTTGGTGCCAGAGAACATAAATATTACTGGAAGTTACCAGGACTTCTGTTCCCATGCATTAAAGGTATGTTTGGACTGAGGTTCATTGCTTGTTTATGAGCTGCTTCTTGACAATCCAGCCAAATTGTCTTGTGAAGCACTGTTTTTAATTCTTATAAAATTTGGCCTTACGATGAGTTGATTAATATTCCCACATCTAAGCTCCAGAAGATTTTTTTTTAAGTGGGGAGACTTTTTGGAGATTTAAGGGTCTTATCAAAAAAGGAGTTCTCCATCTCTTAAAGTCTAGGAGATTGTAGTATATCATGTAAAAAAAAAATGCAGTGCTCTGTATTAGAGCTCCCACTAAACCCCAAATTGGTGGTTTTCATGCTGTAAATTACTATGCTTGTTCTAAGGAAAGAAATGTACAGCATCAAGAAGAATGCTACAAACATCAGGGAAATGTCAGGAACAGCTGGGACCCTGGCATTTGTTAGTGCCTTTTTGTTAAAGGCTGACTTTGGATGGGTACCTTATCTCCATTTGTCTGCATTTTCATGAGAGGACTAATTCTAACCAGTTCCAATCTGCCTTTTATTGTTGAGATATTTTTGTTAGGACTGAGACTGGTATGCACTTACTTATGTTGTAAAGAAGTTGAGCATTTCTACCATGGGCTGCCAGGTGCAATTGGATCTATCTCCTTTGACTAGTTTATATATCTTTATGAATTCCCAACATTCTGCAATTCTAACTTTTCCTTCTTGCTGCCAACCCAGGAGATTTTTTTTTTTCTTATAAACACTGTAAATTAATTTGTTTGGGGTTTTGTTTTGGTCTTGGTTTTTTACCTTCCAGGAATGATCTTTATTGAATTTTATATTTTATATTGGTGATGCAGTTTAAACAAGTAGAATAGATAATCTGAAAAACATTGGAAAAAAAAAAAGAAAATAAAAATGATCAGCTTAAAAATGGCAACTTACATAAAGCCAGCAGTCAGACCACTGGGGAAACTGGGGGGAGCAGGGGAGACACGGATGCTGGCGAATTATTATTCTGCTGTTGCACACGGGTCTGAATCAGCTCTGGAAATGCATACATTGTTTCTTACAGAATGTCTCTGGCTCCTAACAACAGGATTGCAACGTGATGTCTCTGCTAAAAATGTGATGACTCACAAATGAGTCAACAGTGAAGGTGTTACAGGAGGCTAACTGCTGTGCTGTCTGCCAGGGCTCCTAGCAGGCAGGAGCAAGGCTGGCCATTCATTTACTCCATTTTCTTCTCCTAAAGAATTTTTAAAGTAATCTAACCTATGGAGTTCTGCTCACGTTACTGCTCTGTGAAAATGCTGTTTTTCTAAGAGCCTCCTAAACTGGGTTAACGTGTTGAGATACCACATTGCTCTGGATTTAACAGGCATTTTCAGAACTCTGGCTGCTATTAAATTTAATTTCTGCTGAAATCCGTAGTGCAGCTTAATGTATTCATTCAGGAGCAGGGCATTATCCTTGTCTGTCTCTATGCCACAAGAGGTGTCTTCACCAATTGTAATTGTAGATTTGGTTTCTAAAAGAAAAGGTATTTTGGGTCTGTCTCATGTTTTTGGATTGCTTTTTGCAGTTGAAATGAAGGCCCTTCTGTAAGCAAAACTGCACATAAATCTCTTGAATTTTAGGTATGATGCTCAGTTGAGTTAAATAAGGAAGTTTTGGGATAGTAGCAATTAGTAGCACATTCTGTCAGGAGCTGTGAAAAGGGTTATCTGCTGGGCTGTAAGTCTTGAGGACAAATGTGATTGGACCTGAATATATTGTCACTGATTCCAGCATGGGATTTGTCTCTCCTTACATTTGCCCTCCACATGGCAAGCAGTATGTTTTTTCTCTTTAAGCTTCTTTTAAAATCATGATGCACTGTAAATCAGTGGTGGTAGCCCGGGAGTTAGACTGTGCTGTGGGCCTGGATCAACATTTCCCATTCTCACCAAAATGGTGGTTTTTCTCAATACCTAGGACTCTTTTTTTGGATGTTCACCCTTTGCTTTTCTAGGTGGGTCCCACCTGGCTGTGCTGTGGGGGTTTGCTCAGTTCCCCTTCCTGGGTGTGGTTATTGAGCTTTGCTGCTGCAGAATCAGGCTGGGGGCCCACAGCCCTCTGTGCCAGGGCACACTGAGGTTTTCTCAGGCTGAAGGAGCTGACTCTGCTCTTTGTACCACTGATACTTATACTGGGTTGTTTGGAAGGGGTGGGTCCAACTCCAGCTGGACAGAAGCAGAACTGAATGTGTGATCCTCTTGATCCTTGTGAGTGATTTAACCAGTGAAGTGATTGCACCTTCCTAACCTTGGATATGTGTCTGATGTGACTTGTGACAGGCTGTTGCTAGTTTGTTGTAGTTTGGGACAATCAAAGGTATATACATTTTCCTTCCAGGAATGTACTGTTTGGTAATACTGTTTTATCCACATTTCTCTGTACTCCTGGCATGTAATTCACTTGGGTTTTTTTTTCTTTTTTATTAAGTCTTGGAAGTGCTTTCCTTGGCTGTCACTGACCGCATTGCCAACATCTCTGAAACTGTTCCATTGGCTTTCCCTCACATTGCTTTAAGTTGAATTTTCTTCTCTCTGCGTTTGAGTTCCTTTGCAGTTTTCTTCTTTTCTCTTAATTAAATCCAGTTTTGCTGGCTGTATCTGCTCATATGCCAGTTTCTACCTGAGCAAATGTCATCTTGTTTCCATCTGCTTAGGAATGCAGTGCTTCTCCTGAGCTATTGTCTAATTAATTTAAACTAGCCTAGTACTTTCACTTTTTTTCCACATCCTCACATGGACTCATCTGCTGATTCAATAATGGCTGGGTTAAGTGCAGTTTCTGACGGCTGCTTACTAAATTTAAATTATCGTGAGAAGCTTTCTGTATGCCAAGTGTATCTCCCACACAGGCATGTGCACGTGCACTGGGACATAAAATGAGACATAAATACAAATCCATGTTTGTTCCTATGTAATGATAGCATTGCTGTCTCTCACGTACCCCTTGTATAAAACTTGTTTCCAGAGCTGTCAGGTTGGGGGTCACTTCTTGTTATATTTTTTTTTCCCGTGAGTAGTGCTTAACTCCCGTAACCCAGGCTGAGTTGTGATATTCAGATTCTGAAATAATGCTGTAAGGAGAGTTCTGATGTTTGTGGAGGAGTTCAGCCTGGAACTGCTGTACAGCTCTTGTGCAGGTCTGATTTTGCTCAGCTAAGCTTGGCATTGCAGTTAGCTGTGTTGCAAGTGCTGCCTTGCCCTCTGAGTTGGAATTTCTTTTTAGGCTAGTAACCAGATCTTGCTCCTATGTCTGCCAGCTGCTAAGCCTGGTTGGTGGGATTTAGGGTTGGTGAACTCGTTGCTCAGCTGGATCTATACAACTGTTGGGGTCATCAGGGAATGAGCAGGGTTAGCCCCAGACTGCTGGGTGAGTTTCTCCACAGAGCCAGTGGTTGGTGTGAACTGCTAAAGCACAGGAGATCTGCCTTTGACTCTGCCTCCTGCCAGCTCCCCCACTTTATATACTGGTCATGGTGTTCTGTGATGGGGAATATCCCTTTGCCCTGTCTGGGTCAGGTGTCCTGTCCATGTTCCCTCCCAGTATGGTTTCATATTTTGGTCTGTATTTTATTCAGAGCCCCAGGATAAAAAGAAAGTGTCCTGCCTTTTTGTATACTAGTCATTTCAGTTTGGAAATTATAGTGAAGTGGGTAGTTTCTGGGAAACCTTAATTAGATTGCAATGTAAGTTGTGGAAAGTATCAGAAAGTTTGGATGCTGTTCTAAACTATCCTGTACTACTCACCACTTTACAGACCTCTGGAATTTTCAACTGGATTTCCAGTTTTCTGTTTTGTTATGAAGTGTAGGAAGTAGTTTTTGATTTAATATTAGACTCTGACTCACACCTTTTAAGCTCTCAGAAGGATTTTTTTATTGTTTCTATGCCTTTTCAGTTTGTGTCTCATCACAAGTATGTAAAACAAAATATGTCTGGAAATTACAAAAGCAATTTGCTATTTTCTCAATTCTTGCATATAGGTTAAATTTTTTGTGCATTTTTCTTTACTATGTTCAGGCATGAGATACAAGAGGGTGTGGGGACTGCGAGATGAGTTTACTCTGGTGCGAGTTTTAGGAGATGGTTGTTCTTTGTTTTAGTAAGCCTTCCTCTCAAACACTTGTGGCAGTACCCTAATGACTAGAGGACCCTAACAAAAATTTATTTCTGTATTGTTTTTCTGCTCTGTCCATCCTTGATAGAAGTCATGGCATGGAAAGTTGGCATTTTGTAAGCTTGGTAATGAAAAAATGGAGGTTTTGGAAGGATTCAAGAAGTGCCTTGGAATGAATTGATAACTAATCCTTTCTTCCATAATTTCACTCATCCTTGATTTGTTGTTTACTTTCAGTTGGCAATCTGGATAATCAAAGCCTTGCCCTTGATTATCCCTTACAGTTTGGTTTTAATCAAGCTATTAATGCAAACAAGTGCAGCCTGGCCTTTTACATTGTACAGCTCTTCCTTAGTGGTGTATTGTAAATCATTATAATAGCATTTCATGCTTCCAGGGTCGGATTTTTTTCTCTTTTGGCTTTCCTCATTCCTCTTCTCCTCTCCCTCTGTGATGTATTTTGTGTACAAGAGTGGCCCTGGGCTGCCAGTCTCTTAATTGGTGATCAGTCTTGTGTAAGATATGTAACTCGGCACCCCAGAGGAGCAGCTTTTACTCACACCAGTAATTTTGTTGTTTGCTGTGTGGTTATGGGCACAGACTCTGAATGACTCCATCAAGCCAAGAAATGTTCTCAGGGAAGGTGGCATTTGGAGTCTGTAGGCAAAGATATGGAGGTGACTAAAGATTGGAGGATGGTGCTGCAGGGTCAGAAAATTCCAGTGAACTCTCAGCAGATGGTGGGAGGAAGATCCCACCTTAGCTCACGTGCCTTGGTTGAGTAACTCTGTCCCTTGCAGAGGGGTAAAATCTGACCTGTGTTGGACCAGCCACAGTGTTATCAGCTTGTGCTGATTTGTGTACAATCAGATTTGAGATTTGTAATACAATCCAGCTGGGGCTTTGCCTGCCCCCCTTGCCATGACAAGCTGGTCCTGATGGAACAGATGGTCTGGCTCTTTCTGTTTGAGAGTGTCCACGGGACAAGAGGAAATGGCCTCAAGCTGCTCCAGGGGAGGTTCAGGTTGGGTATCAGGAATAATTTCTTCTTGGAAAGGTCTGACAAGCATTGGAAGGGGCTGCCCAGGGAGGTGATGGAGTCTCCATCCTTGGAGGTATTCAGGAAACAACTGGACATGGCTTGAGTTTAGTTGACAAGGTGGTGAGTTTAGTGACAAGGTGATCCAAGGCTGGACTCGATGGTCTTGGAGGTATTTTCCAACCTAAATGATTCTGTGATTCTCTGAAAGCATGCTGCTCTGATTCTACAACCTAAGAGGAAAAAGCCATCAAACTTACATAAAACAACAATGGATTGAAGGAAATTGCTTACTTTTAAAATCCCCTACTTGTCTAAAAAAAAAAAAAATAAATCTTAATATTCATTAATTCTTTTGTTTCAAGTGTGGCCCTTTCCAGACCAGCACTGTGTAGTTGTCAGGTGGGAGTGAGGGGTCTGCAACTACTGCAGATTTTTTGAAGTTGTAGGTGTCAAATAAAGCATATCCGGTGCTGCAATGCCTCTTTAGCTTGTGGCCTGCTGTTCTTCTAATGACTGCCTGAGACGCCATGGAGCAAAGTGCATCCTTTGTGTTACTCCAAAGCCAATCACGGTAGATTCTTGCTAGAAGGTAAAAAAAAAAAAAAATCATATGTATTACTTGTCTGCAAGGTAATTGAAGAATATCTAATGGGCCCTGATGCAAGCAAATAACCCTTGTGCCTAATCAGCAGAGAGACGGCGACCTTCCTGCTTCAAAGAAGAAACGCCAGGCAGGGGAGAAGATTATGTATACTTTGGTCTCTGTGCCACATGGAAATGACATCGCATCTCTCTTTGAACTGGATGCCACCACCCTTCAGAGAGCTGATTGCCTGGTTCCAAGGTAAAAAAAAAATAAATGAAAAAAGGGCAGGAAATAGTGCTGCATTGACAGGGTTTCTTCCTGGCATTATGCTGGTGAGTAAAGCATAAAAAAGGCAAACATGAGCAAGTATTATCCTTCTGTCAAAATTTGAGGAGTGTTCATGGATAAATAAGGGATGTATAAAACATGATACTGCTGCTGTGACTGGGTAAAATAATTATAAGGATAAAACAAGTGACACTTAGTGTCTGTGAAGAGAAAAAATAATGGTCTAAATATTGCACAGAGATCTGTGTGAGGATAGAATTGAGCTCTGTGCACTGTTTGAAAAAAAATGTATTTTTAATAGATTTAATTGAATTGTTCCCAACAAAATAATATGTGGGGTGAGCTGGGCTTCTGTTTCCCTGACATATCATGATGCTACTGAGCACATTTTTTATTCAAATGTATTCAGCAAGTGGCTTCTGGGTTTTAATTGTCAATATTTGAAATTTTAGCTGTGTAACATAGCTGAGATTGGTTAGATAAGTCACACGGTGTTGGTTGTGACTGAATGGGCTTGGGGCTGGTTGTTATGAGGGTGGATTTTAAAGCTGGGTGCCCACAAATACTGATGTATGTGACTTTGAAGTGTTTGCTGTGCTAAGTTCTGCCAGATAATTTGCTTACTTGAATGCTCAAAAGCCCATCAGCGTGAAAGGGAGACTGTGAATGGAGACCACAGTGAATATATTTCAAAAGTAAAATTCAGAGTTAAAATTGTAATTGATTTCTCAGCTCTGCTTTTTGATAATACCACAGATTATCATATGGAAAGAATTTAGAAGGATCTCATATCTGCTCTTTGTTCGCTTGATTTTCAGTTGAGTACTGGTACTGTAAATGCTTGCTCTGGAACAAGGGTTTGCAGATCATAATGATGAAGCTGTGAAACCACGGTCAGCTTTACTTTCTGGCTTTGTGCTGTGACAGCTTAAAAGGATTCGTTATTCTGCAGGAAAAAATTATAAAAGAATTGGGTTTATTCATTAAATGTATTTCTGTTCAGATGGGATTTTGTAACATCTTCCTTTGAGGTTTTTTTTTTCCCTTAAAGAATATTTTACTCCTTGATTTATGTAAATACTTAAACTCAGCGCTCTGCACAATCCCAAGATGCTGGCTGTTCTTGTTGCAGCTCTGTTCTGGGTGAGAAAGAAGGAGTCAAGGTAAAAGGGTACTGCAGTGTCTTTTAGGTCCACCTCCTCTTTTTATTGCAGTGGCTGGCATGGCTCCTGCTCTCCAGCCTCATGCCACAAGCAGATGCTGCAGAGCATCTCACTTGCCCACATGGGCTCAGAACTGATCCATCTCATCTTCTGTTTGCTCTGTCCCCTTTAGGAACTCCTACGTCCGACTGAGGCACTTGTGCACCAACACTTGGGTCACCAGCACCAGCATCCCGATAGACACTGAGGAAGAGAGGCCTGTGATGTTAAAGGTAAACAAAATCCCAAACTCACTCCTGAAGCTGTCTCACTTCTAACCTCTGAAATGTGCTTCATACTTAGGATAAAGGTAAGAGGATTGCTCATCCACTTTAAACCAAAAATGTTTGCAGATTGGGACGTGCCAAACCAAAGAGGACAAGGAAGCTTTTGCCATTGTATCAGTTCCTCTGTCTGAGGTCAGAGACTTGGACTTTGCCAATGATGCCAACAAGGTTTTAGCATCAACTGTTAAAAAGCTGGAGAACGGAACAATAACCCAGAATGAAAGGAGGTTAGTGAGTTTTATTTTTTCCCCTGCTAAATTGGTATTTGGTTACTCATGATTACATAGTCATGGGTAGGTGATATCCACATGGACAGAGGCAATTGGGAGAGGGCACTTCAGTTCCAAGAGTGCCAGCCTGGGGTTAGATTCCACCTCTGTGAGAGCATCCTTGCTGTACCTCAGGCTGATCTGTGTATCTCCTATGTAAAAGGGGGGTAAACAGCACTTCCCCAGCTCACTGGCCCCATAAATTAATGGATTTCCAGGATAAATCCCTGGGCAAATGTCTTTGTCTGGACTTCATTTGGTATCTGCTTCTGAGCTATAACGTGAGGGTGCATTGCATCTGATTTTCATGTACAGGAAAGCAGCAATTCAGGGCTCTGGACGTGTGTCAAGTTCACCACACTGCAAACCTGCAAAAGCCTTGGAAGGAGGTCTCAGTGTGACTGAGAAGCTGCTCCATTTGCTTTCTCACATCTATTTCCCCCTGTTCTCTTTTTCTATTTTACATCAATTTGTTGTTTACCGCTTGTATTCATCCCCATTTTGTCTGTGGCACTATTAGAATGTCTGCTCCTCACACCCTCCCCTGAATCAAGGGATTTTGTTGTGCATTTGTTGTATATTGTAGCCATATATATGTATGCACAAATATATGTAGCCAGTGATGTAGTTCACTATTTATCTTCAGCTGCCTGTGGTTAAACTGAATATAAGATAGCATCTATGGCAGTGTGAATTCGTAACTGTAATATATTATATACAGCTTTTCTTTTTTCTGAAAATGTTGATTTTTGGTGATGGAACTGAATTTTCACAGTCAGTTTCCAGTAGAAATTAGACCAGTTGATTTAATGTCATTACATGCAGATGTTTAATGCCTGGGTGTTGGGACTCAGCCTTGAGAAGCTGTGGGGGCCATTTCACGATTGAGTTGACTCAGAGAGGGATACGACACTGTCCAGGTGGGACATCCCTGTATGAACTTGTCACTGTCAGTATTGTCAGGTCTTGATGTTGTCAGATTGGTACAACAAACATGTAAAACAATTCTGAGCTGTTTTCCAACAGTACCGTTATTTGTTAGTTGTTGTGACTTCCTTTGGAAAAAAAACCCAAACCATCTTCTTCCTGCCTTATCATCTTCTAGCATAGAGAACTAGAAGTCCTAACAGTTTATACCTTATTGCTCCATCCTATAGCTTCCTTTTCTACTTTATTTTGTGAGGGTGGCATGCACCTTGCTGTTTTCCACAAGAGGCCTGAAGCTTTCAGAGCTAAAACTCACTCAGAGGGTTTAGGTGAGCAGCCCAGCTCACTTGTAAATAACGGGAACTTCGCTTCTGGCTCCCACAGGTGACTGAAAATCTCTTGGGGATCTTTCTGCCTCCTTCATAGCTGGTAGATTTGTTAGCTATAGACTAGACATTGACCAAATTGAGATGGTGCTGAGTTTTTAATGTAAAAGACTGCTGGTGCTATTAAGGGATATTCTTTGAAATCTGTGGACATCTGTGTTTCTCACTGCATGTCTGGCAAGGTGTTAGTAACAAGGAGGCAGCAATGGCTTTGTGGTTTTTTCCCATTTATATTCTGTCTTTTTGTATTTTCTGAAGGTGGGAGAGAAGGAATTACTACTGCCTCTGTGTTTAGCACCTGCTTCTGAAAAATCTTTTGTTTAGCAAAGAGTGAAACAAATAGTTTCTGGGGTCAGTATATATAGGAAAACTGTTATATATGAATATATATATGAACCAGTTTCATGGGTCAGTAGGGAAATTATCTAGTGGCAAAATGTTTTTATTCCTCTGGTGAGTCCATCATCTTGTTTCATGGATCCGTGATAAAGCATAAAAATCCATGCTAGGCTGTGTGAGTTTCTTTTTACTGCTCCTGGGCCTTGAGGCCACCAGGTATAGATTTTGGGTCTCTGAAAACTGTATCAATCCAGCAGCCTGTATTTTTCTCTTGTTTTCCCTCTGGTTGTTGTTTAATGCCTTGATAAACAGCCCGTGATTGATTTAAGCTTCTGCTGAGCCAAGGCTTGGAATACTTAAGTACATGTCAAACTTAACTTTGCAGTGGTGGAAGTTCCATTTTGTCAGGTAAAGCTTAGCATAAGTGTGATTTTTGTTCTTAATCCTAGCAAGTGTTGAGTGACTGTTTATGGTAATTATTTATCTATTCATTCTAGGTTTGTAACCAAGCTACTGGAAGATCTCATTTTCTTTGTTGCTGATGTGCCCAATAATGGGCAAGAAGTCTTGGATGTGATCATTACCAAGCCAAACCGGGAACGACAGAAATTAATGAGGGAGCAAAATATATTGGCTCAGGTATGTCCTACTGTGTTAACAACTTATTATTATACAATCTGTATCTGCAAACAGATTGTAGGAGAGAGTGATGTGAGAAAAAGTTATTTTTGGGTAAGTTGGCTTATGCCATGTTTGGTTTCTCACTGGATTGGGTAGAAATGGCACTACTTGGTCAAAGCTCATCTCTCTAAATCAGAGTCAAGCACAAGGGGCTGTAGAGGACTCTCAATTTCATGTGTTTCTGATAAGATTTAAGATCATATTTGAGAGCAAATTGTTCACAAAATTTGAGACAAACACAGAATGTGGTCCCAAGCCTGCAAGTGTAGCTCACATAGTGCCCCTGTGGAACTCTGACTTTGTTTGCATGAGGGCAAATTTGCAAGTAAATAAAATTAATGTCCATTTTGTCAAGTCAACTGAAAGAAATTTAAAAAAAGGGGGAAAGGATAAGACTGGACAGAAGCCAGTGTTGTCCTCCTTTTTCATCATTGAATTATCCAAAGTTAAGACATGGAACTGTTTAAAGTTGGGGATAGTAAAGAAAAAGCAGTATCAATCAGGTTGGTGGGAAATGTAAAGCTAACCCAAATGCATAAAGCTGTGATGTCTCAGATTGTATCCCCATTTGTGTTTAGTCAAGGCTGTTGTGATGGTCCTGTCAGAGGACATTTCCATTGTCTTTGGTTTCTGCTGAACTTCCATTCTGAAAGTTCAGCAGAAATCTGGGTCTGGTTTTCACTCTGGGATTTTGATTTCGAACAGATATTTGGCATCCTCAAAGCTCCTTTTAAGGACAAAGGTGAAGGATCAATGCTGAGACTTGAAGACCTGGGTGACCAGAGATATGCTCCCTACAAATACATGTTAAGATTATGTTACAGAGTTCTAAGACACTCCCAACAGGACTATAGGAAGAACCAGGTCAGTGGTATTGAGGATAATTTTCCTCCTGATTTCTGTAATTACATGTCCTGGGTTTGATGTGGTGCTCTGCACTTACAAGTGGGATTCTGTGGTAATGGGGGAAGGTTTGTTTTTTTTTTTTTTTTTTTTTTTGTGTGTGTGTAGCTTAGTAGTGGTGAATTGAAAGTTCAACAATGAATATCACAAGTTCACTTTGTACTTTTGCAGGCTCAGTCTGAGACTGGGGTTCACTGCTTCATTCATGAGCTTTCTGTTATTAAAAGTATGTTCTTGGAGTCTGGATTGCAAAGTGGGAAATCTGCAAAGCTGTTTCTCTTGCTTAAATATTTGTAGAGGGATGGCAGTGAGTCAGAGCAGAGGTTGTTATATCAGGTAGCCTGATTTCCCACTGCTGGAGACTCCCTGTGAGCAAGAGGTATTTCAGAACCCGGACTAAAGGGACTGGAGATAAAAGCCTGAACTGCTGTGTGGCTTCTTTGTTTTCTTTCCACTGTTTTACAGAAATATTTCTCTCCTGAAGGGAGGGAAAAGGAGGAGGGAAGACTCAGGAAAATAGCTTCTTAAACACTATAAAAATCTTTTAGTTTTTCTTTTTTTTAAAGAAAAAAAAGAGGTTGCCATTTTTTGAATTTGATATATGTTTTCATTGATTCATTCCTTTGGTTTATGAAAGAATGAAAAGAGTTAGTCATCCCTAATATGGAATCTGTTTCTCAGGGTACATATTTGAGGTATTCAGAAGTTCTTTTATACAGGCCAGTTCAGAGAGGATTGATTTTAGCAATTTTGATTGCTAACTAAGTTAGCAATTTTTTTTAGCAATTTTTAGTTAGCCATTTTGATTGCTAACTAAGCTGGGTGCCTCTGGTTCTAAAAGAGAAAGCATTACTGCTCAGCAGGTCATCATGGGAATTTTTCCTTTTTTTCAGGAATATATTGCTAAGAACTTCTGCATCATGCAGTCCCAGATTGGTTATGATATTCTGGCAGAAGACACCATCACAGCTTTGTTGCACAACAACAGAAAACTGCTAGAGAAACACATCACGGCTAAAGAAATAGAGACGTTTGTGAATTTACTCAGGAGAAATCGAGAGCCAAGGTTTGAAGTGGTCCATGTAGCATTTTTGCAGTAGCTGTGAATTGCTTGCTATTCATTGCTTTGGTGTCTCTTTCTTCCTGTTTTGACCTGGCAAACAAAAACCCCACCTGTACAGAAAGTATTAGAACTACCTGTAATTCTTGGAATTAAACCATATCCACATTTTAAAACTAGAGCTTCCTGAAAAGAGGGCTTATACATTACAGGAGAGCCTTGAAAATTTGGTCTCAGTTCTGACTGGGGCCAAGAGAAGTTAAGAGAAAGTTTAATTTCTCCTGGCTCTGCAGCTCCTCTGCAAAACTGCCATTTGTGCTGGTTCCCCTGATAATAATCCTGGTGTAAACTATACACACATATAGTTTTTTCTAAGCTTTTATTAATATCAATTTTCCTGCAGCTTCTGATTCCAGGTCAAACCTGAAAAAGGCCTAGGACAGTGAAGATCCCATAAACTTGTGTCCTTGACCGAATTTTGTTCCAAATTAAAATTTCTGGCCTTGAACTTCATACAGCTGATTTTTTTTTTTAATAAGCTTCAGATTGGAATATAGAAGAAATTGATTTCGTTATTTTAAAGTGGAAAAATCTCTTTATTATTGGATTTTCAGTTTTAAAATGAACAAAGTAATACAAGTATAAGAAATGAACATACTGAAGGCCACATATTGTCCCCTGTAATTGTGAATACCATTTTCCAGGTAGCCTTTAAGGATGTTGCCCAAGGCCTTAGTGTTTCACTGCTTCAATTATTTTCTATATGCCTGTTTGGCCTCACTCTGTAATCTCATTGCTTCTCCCATGCTCAGCTGGGTTGGGCTTGGTCAATGTGAAGAGGAAATCGCAGGATGAGCTCTGTCTCTGAAGGGTCTGTGTTTATTGAAAATTGCACATTGCATTTTCTTGTGGCCGAGATGTAATGGAATTTGTGCTATAACCACATAATGCAACTGCTGTGTATCCACTTCTTTGAGGAATTCAGGAGCAATAAATGTTTCCAAATTGCCCCTTGCCAGAATGTTGTAATGTGAACAGCAGAGACTTGATCTTGATACTGATTTTTATGGAGAGTTTTGTAGATTTTCGCAGCACTGTTGGGGTAAGTGAGAATGGTGGCATTCTGCTCTAAAACACATAAGCTACAAAATTAAAAACCTTCCTGAGTTTTGGCTCCAACCAGGTGACTTCCCCAAAAGTCCATGTAATTATATGTTGTTTGCTTAATTTTATCTTTGTGATTACTATGCACTTTTAATTACCAGTTACCACAAAACTTAATTTCAGTTATGGGTGGATTTTTTTCATAAGTCTACCCTAAAAAGGCTGTCTGTACTCACCCACTACAGTTCCCAGACTTTAGCGGAGCTGTGGTCTGTGCTAGAGGTTCAAACTGTTGGTTCCTTGGATGGCTGATAGCAGATGGTCAGAGTTTGTACCTGGATTTCTAAGAAAATAGAATATATGATGTGTGTGTGTGTGCCTGCTCACATCTGCTCCCCCACCAGCTCTTGAGCACCTTGCTCAGTTTTAGCTACAATTGCTAGAGGAGTGGTGGGCTCAGAGATACTTAATTCCTGTGACTATCATGGAAAGGGGAAACTGCATAGAAGGAAGAGGCCCTTTTTATATTGCAGTGTGTCAAAGGCTGCAAAATGTATTACTATTACTGCACACACAGGAATCCCTGAAAAGAGACAAAACCACATACCTAATGAATGTCCCAGCTGTAAGGAAAGCCTCAGCCTGAACCTTGTTAAACATCAGAAGACCTAAATTTGAGAGACAAATTCATAGGAAGCTGATTTCACTGCAAAGCTTTGTTCTTTTTGCCTTACATGGAATGACCTCTTTGAATGCAGAGTCCTATCTGCAGGTCCTGACAGATCTGCACTCTTCTGTGGTAGCCCAGCATTCCCTGGCAGTGTTCAAGGCCAGATTAGATGGGGCTTGGAGTAACCTGATCTAGTGGAAGGTGCTGTGAGTTGCAGGAGCACGAACTGACCAAGATCATATGTTGATTAATAAGATACAGAGTCCCTCTTGCCTACCCATCCTCTAGTGCTGAGTGCTAGAGATTTCTACTGCAGTTCCTCAGTAATGGTTTAAGTCTCATGTTCTGCTGCATCTGTGGTTTTTTGACTGCAGATTCTTGGATTATCTGTCAGACCTGTGTGTATCTAACACCACAGCAATACCAGTAACTCAGGAACTCATCTGCAAGTTTATGCTGAGCCCAGGGAATGCTGATATTCTCATCCAGACCAAGTGAGTATCTGTAATCAGCACATGCCACTTTTTGTTGTCTGCTCTCTTAAATTCCCAGAACTTTGCTCGTGGCTCCATTGTGAATGGTTTGTGTTTGCAGGCTGGTTTCAACCCAAATGGACAATCCCTTGGAATGCCCAGTCATCTCGGATGACATTGATGAAGAGGAAGTGTGGCTCTACTGGATTGACAGCAACAAGGAGCCTCATGGCAAAGCCATCAGGCACCTGGCTCAGGAGGCAAAGGAGGGCACCAAGGCTGATTTAGAGGTTCTTACCTACTACAGGTAAAACTGCTTATTCAAAGGGAAGAAAATGTAAACTCTCTGAAGATCCTCAGTGCTGTTCTTATCCAATTCATTTGCCAATATCAAAAACGGAAACCAGAATAGTGAAAGAAAAAGCCATGAAACCAGTTTTATGCCAGAAACTGAGACCAAGAGTTCATGTCAAGTTTTTTCTTGTGGGAGTTACCACAGTCTCTGCTGCCTATTCCAGGCAAATTTTGAGTTTCCTTTGCTCACCACATCTCTTTTTGTGTCTTTTATTTTGCCTCTTACCTTTTATTTATTGAGCTTTAATTTTGGGTTGTACTGCCCTGGAAGCAAGGCACGGCCTGAGAATTGAGTGTCCTGAGTGTCTTCAGGATTAGAGAAGAAATGGGATCACGGAATAATGTTTTACAAAATTGGAGCAATAACTGAACAAATAGTTTTAATGTCAACTTGCTCCCTTGCTTAACAAAATCACTCTTGTTATTTTTTAGGATTTATATCAGAAAGGCTCGCAACAAGCTTGTAACGTGAGGTTCTGAGGTGTGTTCTTTCATTTCCAACCAATTTTCTTGAATACCACGTTATTACCTCTTTTTTTTTTTTTTAAGGTACCAACTGAACCTCTTTGCAAGAATGTGCCTGGACCGCCAGTATCTCGCCATCAACCAGATTTCTGCCCAGCTGTCAGTAGACTTGATCCTCAGGTGTATGTCTGATGAGAGCCTCCCCTACGACCTGCGGGCTTCCTTCTGCCGTCTGATGCTGCACATGCACGTGGACAGAGATCCCCAGGAGTCTGTGGTGCCTGTCAAGTATGCCAGATTGTGGACTGAAATTCCTACCAAGATCACCATTCATGAGTGAGTTGGAAGTGTTTAAAACTAAAGCACAAAAGGTCTTTGTAGGGTTTGTCTTAGAACAAAGTGGTTGTAGATATCCAGTGGCCACAAAACATATGTGTGAAAAGGCATTTTGTTGCAGAGCACGGAGCTATTAATTATTGTTACTCTTGGAAACGTCAATGGGCAGCTTTCAATCATTAAATACATACATTTTATTTTTCACTATGTTTTATTCAAGAAGCTGGAGAAAATGGAATGGCCTTTCCTCAGACCAGCTGAACTCCAAGTAATCCCATTGTGTCTCGCATGACAGGTTTGCTAGGCTGGAACTCGGTTTTATACCTCAAGTTCAACAGAAAACCACAGCTGGGAACCCAGAATTAAGACGCAGCCTCTGTCCACAAACAACTCACAGAGGCTTTAGCCTTCACTTAGTGAAGTACTTAAGCATGTGTTAAATATAATTTTAGAGAAAGGACCATTGATTTCAGTGGAAACCCTGTCTGGCTCTACTGATTTGATGGAGCAGCAGCACTGGGATGCTCCCAGCCAGGGAGTGTCTGGCTGGAGAGACAGAGGAAGAAGCACAGCAGTGCAGCAACCAGTGTTGTTTTGCTAATGACCTCATTGAATTGCCACAGCAAGATTTTAGAGTCCTATCTGCCAAAAGAGTGGTATTATCCTGTCTATATTCTTCCCATTCCTGGTAGTGTTGAAGGGAAGGTTTGGGCATCCACTTTCCATGTTTCCAGAGCACTGAACTGAGTCATTTCAGAGGATTGTGATTGGTTTGTTTTTAATTTAGTGACAGCTGATCCTGATATCAGAGGTGTTCAATTTTCCTTCTTTCTGTGCCTTGTATTGTAGGTATGATTCCTTCACTGACTCTTCAAGGAATGAAATGAAGACAAAGTTTGCACTAACAATGGAGTTTGTAGAAGAGTACTTGAAAGAAGTTGTGAATCAGCCCTTTCCATTTGGAGACAAAGAGAAAAATAAACTTACATTTGAGGTATATCTCAGCTATCTGCATCCTACTTACAGTATTACTCATTTCAGATAAGATGACATTGCTTTTTTCAAAATAAAGCCAGTCGCAAAATAAATGTTGGTGTAAAATAGCCTAAAGAAACACCTGTTCATAATTCCATTGTTCTTGGTGCTGACTGGTGCCGCAGAAAATAATAGTCTTGTCTGCTGTATTTTCCAACCTTTCCTTCCTTCTCCTGCATTTCCATGGAAGGAGAGGGATTTCTGGGGAGTACATGGTGAATATTCCTGCTTTTTCTACATTAGTGAAATAACTTGTAAGGATTTGTCAGTTTAAGTAAGTGCTGTTTTCTGCATAGGGTATTACACTCAACAAAACACTCTGAATAACCTAATTCTGTGGTTTAAACACCATTTGAAATTCCTTTGGATAGGTCTAGGTTTTCTAGCAAAGAACAAAGGGGAAATGGTTATAGCTTTTATAATTCTTCCCCTGGCCTACTTCTCTTTGTTGCTTTTGCCTCTGGTCACCTGAAATCACCTCTGTGCAAACTTATCACAGTCATCTTACTCTTCTGCTGACTTCCATCTTCCCCAAAGCTGCTGCCTCTTTAAATAATTTCTCAGTCTTTCTTCTTGATCTTATATATTTTCACGGATGCAATTTTATCCTCTCAAGCCTTCCTAAGTCTCACCTTGGTTTTGCTGTCTGCTAGAACCTGACTGACCAATTGCTTTTTGTCTAATCCTGACAAACATTTAATGTCACTGGCCTTAGTCCAAAAATCAGTGGCAAGACTTGTGCTAGTTTGAATGCACTCAAGATCTGAATCTCTGTGGAAGCTACTGTGTGAAATGCAATTGAAAACCACAGAGGCTGTCAGTGTTTCCTTCATTTTTAATTTGTTTTTCTTATAGGTGGTACATCTGGCTCGAAACCTCATATACTTTGGCTTCTATAGTTTTAGTGAGCTTCTCAGACTGACCCGGACGCTGCTGGCAATTCTAGATATTGTTCAAGTTCCCATATCGTCATACTTCGAAAGGCTGAGCAAGTTTCAGGATGGAGGTGAGATGAGCAGCAAAGACTGTTATTCCAGTGGGTAATTAGCTTTTTAAGTTGGAAAAAATTTATGGAGAATCTCATTACTCTTTCAAGGTTCTGTATTCACACATCAGCCCACCTACAGGAATGCATTGCAGGGGACATTAAGATGATCAGCTAAAAAGGAACCTTTTTGAACAGAGCTGCATCCTCATGACTTCTGGGTACTGCATTGGTGTTGCTGCTCCTTTGCTTATTTGGAACTTTCAAATTTGGTTTTAAACCTCCATGCCCCTTGCTCTGAACATCCTGAGGGAGTTCAAGCAGTGTTTGCCTGGGCACAGGGATTATGGTGGCTCATCTGTGGTACAGCTGATTGTTAATCTTCTTAGCACTTCTCTGAAAGGGAGAATGAGATGGTTCTGGTCCCACAATGGCAGAAGTACCCAAAGGAAGTCCAGAGGAGACCATCCTCTGCCTGAGTTTGTCAGCTTAGAATAAGCTTTTTTGAACTCAGACCACAATGCCTCTCTGACAACCCTAGGATTATTCTGTATGTCCCGCTGCCTTTGCAACCATGGTTTAAAAATGAATTGAAAGATGAGCATGCCAGAAGGTGCTGAAACGTAACAGTTTAGTTTTCCTGTGTGAGTGGAAGAGAGGTGTGACAGTGGTGTGGGCTGAGGGTCCAGAAGACTGACTGATGGCAAGTTCTGTTTTAATATGTAGCTGGTGTTGCCAGCCAGCTGGCTCACAGCACCAAAATGGATGAGCTGTCCTGTTGGAAACAATTATTTTGTGTTTTCTCTGGGAGGCCTTTTCCCAGCCTTGAGTTTTTCTAATCATCATTTTGCTCAGTTACTCCCACAGATGCCCTGCAGGAGTGTGCTGTTCTTCACAACTTTTTTCGTCTTTGAGGTTCACACACTCTGGAGAGGTATAGGCTGTCATTGTCATCACTCAACCAAGAAGTCATGTGCTTGGTTCTCTTGATCTTCTCTCCATCAGTGCCAGCAGACTTTACTGACACCCTCTGGAAGTCTTTCCTGCAATGCAGTGCACACCAAGTCATGCTGTAGCTGGCTGCAGTCCCTCCTCAGCACTAGAGAAAAGACTGTATGCCCAGACACTTGGAATTGTGTTTTCCTTTTTTGTCCCTGAAAGACTGCATTGCAGACTCTCTTCTTAAATGGCTCTGGACACAGTTTGACTCCAGACACAGTCTTGGCATATTGGCAACATGGGACATGCAGATGTGGTTCTTCTGCTTAGTTCTCGCTCTGCCCAAGCCTTTAATCCTGATTATACATCTCAGTCAGTGTTTTTACTCACATTCATTACCAATAAAATCATGTTTTGTCCTTAATTCCCTTTTATTTCTGCAGAAGGGTTTCCTTTTAAGCTATATAAGACAGGAAGGAACCACCCGTTAAGTGCAAACAGACCTGCTCTCAGTTATATGAATTTCCTTAGCAATTCCATGCAAATAAATGAATTTGCTTTGAAATAATTGAGTGAAGCAATATTGCAAATGGCACCACCCTGCAAATGGAAGCTCAGTAGCCTTTTTAGTAATACTCAGTGACCTACTGGAGCCTTGTTGGGAACTTTTTGCCAGAAATCTATTTTTTTCTCATGTTCTTTCAGCAAAAAAAGGCACAGAAAAAAGGTGTAATTTTTTTTTTTTATTACCTTAAGCCTTTAAAGAGATTATTTACATTTCTTTCCTGCTCTAGCTGTCTCCATGGCTGTTTACAATCCATGGATGTTCTTCTGATAATTACTTGTGGGTTGGTTTAGTTTATTTGGTGGGGGTCTTTCCTCTTTTTCTACTAACTCTCTATCTAGAAAGCTTTGGAGAGGCTTTTTTGCTGGTGCAGATTGTTCAGTCCTTCTTAGAGGAGTCTGGAGATATGGGCTGTGCTGTCTAGACTTAAAAACAGGCATTGAAACTTTGCTGTGGTGAGACAATGTGTTTTTATGTAGAAATAGCTGTTAGACTTCCTGGAGAGGCCTTCTACAGTTTTGTAAAAGAAAAGGATGTCTTTGGATGCTCAGATCTTTTCTTCAACCTCCCTTTTCCTTTCTGATGGAGAAACTATAAACTACATAAAGTGTGCATTCACTTTGCACTTGAGACAGCATGATCCTGAATATTTAACTGCTGTATCCAAAATCTTGCCTTTCCTCCTGCTTTCCCTGGAGGTGCACTTACCTACCCATCAGCTATAGAGATGCATGTGTCACAAGGATGAAGTTGAAGCACTTGAATAACTCCTATTCACTATTTTTGAGCACCCAGCTCGTAGAGCTTCATGTTCAAAGAACATATTTCATGTCTGAAAATCACAACTCAAGCAAAACAGGGAAGTGCTTTTCATTAAGGAAAACCACACAAGAATCAACCAGCATTGTTTAGCTGCACATTACACCACTGAGAGGTGGTGCTGGACTGGAGCTTCTGGGCCTCTGCTTGTGTTGGACTGTAGATTAGAGTGCAGAAGCACAGATGTTCCCTGGGTCTGTCTTGTCCAGGATCACTAGGGATCCTCAGGAATGAACAAGCAAGCACAGAAACTGGTCTTGGGAATTTTTTTTTCTGAATCTCTTACTATGAGACTAAGGATTGTTCACCATGCAAAGCTGTAGGTATACACTGGTTTTCCATTTTACAGTAATTATAAGATTGTACATCCAAGGGTTCCCTTCCCTTTTTACACAGATATCCTCTCATAAAACTGCGTTGCTCAGAACATGTTAATTGTTTTATTAGTTACCTGTCCTGGCTTTTTATTGTCTCTTTTAATTTATTATACCAGTCTCTTAGGCTTTTAGAAAGGGTAAAAGTAGAAATTGCCTCTGTCTGGGATTTTTTAGATTTTGGAAAATGTGATGGCACTTTCTAAAATCAGCGTGGTCTGATTTTTTCCAGCAAGTGTTTTCTTATTCATAACTTCCATAAAACACAGACAGATGGATTGTTCCCTGCCCTCTTTCAGGGTGGTGGGACCTCTCTCTCCAGTCAGGAAGGTGTGAGGGTGAGTTCTTGCCTTGAGAGGAGGTCAGATTCTATTTCCCACATCTCTCCAGGCTGCAGCGTCCTCTCTGGCAGGTCCGCTATGTAAAACAGTGATACCAAACCTTTACAGAATATTGCAGATAGGTGTCCCTCCAACACATTATTACTCTAGGGACGTGCAAGTTAACATAGCTCCTTTCTAAAGAAAAAATAGCTTCCCTGAGTGGCAAAAATAATTGCATTGATGTTCTTAAACAAAGAAAAAGATATGATTGTTTCTGTTGTGGTTTTTGTGTATTTATTGTGAATGTATGGAAGATTAAATTTTGGTTTTTCTAGAAGTTATGGGGCTTTGTTTGGGTTTTTATGCTTGTTTGTTGGTTGAATGTTCTTTTTTTTTTTTTTTTTTTTTAAAGCTTCCAGGCCGGGGTCACAAATGTCTAGGCATAAGCTTTAATTCAGTAAGAACATGTATTTCCTTCCTTGAGCTTAGGGCTTTGAAGTGTAGCTCATAACTCCAGTTTTGACAAACACTGAAAGCCAGTCATGATGCCCGAGACTGACAGTTTATTGGTATAAACAAATATGTTTAAGTTTTATCAAGCATTAAGGGCGTGATCCTGTAAATCTTTTCTAGAAAAAGTGCTACTGAATACCAGCTTAAGTTCTGTATATTTTAATTTTCATCACTATTTAAGTGTAAACTTGCATCGATTGGTAGTAAATCTATATTTAACAACAAGATTTTGTCAATAGTTATGCCAATTCAGAAACAGTTATTTTCAGGTTCTAAGAAAAATTACTTGAAAAGAGGTTTGCCCAAATGGATAAGTCATGTAATTTCTATTCTACAGCTGTAGCAGATAGAAGGTAGCATCTCTGTAGAAGCTGAGAATTTTAGTCAGGATCGATATATTTTACATGATAGGTTTTGTATTTTAGTTTTTTTTTTTTAATGTATTGATTTCTATGGGAAAATCACTGCTGCATAACTCTGGGGACAGGTAGGTTATGCTGCCTTTCCATTGACTTGTTCCAGGTCAGCAGCAACAAAAGCTTCCAACATCTGTTTCTGGTAATGTGAAGTTGTTGGGAACTGGTGAGCTGGATTCCTGACTGATTTGACCAGTCCACATTGTGAAAACTGTAGTCAGGATTTTGGAAAATATATTGACAATGATGGGTGGAAGAATGTGGTGAGTCTTGGCTGTGGAAGGCTTTCCTAGGAGGTGTGCACCTCAGAACTGCAAGAACCAAATTTTCAACCAGCAGTCTTGAGTCTTCTTCCCTGTTTAATATTTATTTCTTAAAGTACACCCACTTCGGTAAAACTGCTTGTTAAGTGAGGAATTATATATGACAAGTGTTGAACTGTTGAGGCAAATCTGCAAAATGGAATGTATTTTTAGGCTTAGTGTAAGTTAGATGAAGACTTAATTACCCTTTTACATTAAGAAGTCCTTTTCCCTCCTTTGCTTAAATTCGGAGCCACCTTGGTGGCTGAGGTAGTCCTCCATGTTTTCTGTGGGTTTCTCTGTCTTGGTTTAGCAAAGATTCTAAAAACACACAATCATAGCATGGCTTGGGTTGGAAGGGACCTTGATGATCTCATTCAGACCCCCTGCCATGGGCAGGGACACCTCCCACTATCCCAGCTTGCTCAGAGCCCCATCCAGCCTGGCCTTGGACACTGCCAGGCATGGGGCACCCTGTACCAGGACCTCAGCACCCTCACAGGGAAGAATTTCTTCCTGATATCCAACCTAAACCAGCTCTTGTCAGTGTGAAGCCATTCCCCCTTTTCCTGTTGATCCTTACATTATTGCAAATGTTAAGCCTTACTTCATTTAGAAAACTTAATTTTAATTCCACTGTCAGTTACTTGAACCAGAATTAAATTTAATGTACATGTAGTTTCATGGGTGACCTTATTTGATGAAGACAGATTGAAGAAAGCTGGCTAAGAAACATTTATAAGATCCTGTAAAAAGTAAGGATGTATATT